TACTTCTCCAGATCTTTTTCTTGGGTTATAGGGTTTATATCTGCGGATATTTTGCTAGTTTTCTTTGATGTTTTGATTGAGTATTCAACTCATGGTTTAAAGAGTATACATCAAAGGATTATTTGTTTGTTCTACACAAAAGAGAGAGTTGTTCTTCGGTGGATTCTGAAGAATTCGAGCCTGAAGCTTTGGTGGATTCCAGAGTGGCTCATCGTTAAGACAATTCCGAGGTGAAGACGAGGTTGGAAGAGACACATAGAGGTTGGTTTAATTCGGGCATGGATTCGCTAGGTAATTGAGAGTATACTTGTGTAATTCCTTTATATCTTCTTAGTGGATTGTTTTGTGGCTGCTGCCCGTGGTTTTTTATCACAATTAGAGGTGTCCAATTGTGGTTTTTTCATGTAAAATTGTTGTGTCGATTTGTCTTGATTGTTTGATTGGGATTGTTGTTTACTGCTTAAAATTGATACATAATCACAAATCAACATCTAGGGGATTTCTAGATTTTTCAATGGGCAAAGTGGGCTAGACCCATTGGATTCAAAACAAACACGCGCCACCGTCCGTCCGGTCGATCAAGCAAGCTTGGGCTCAGGTGCATGGTGTGAGGTTGTGTTGGGCTTGTTCGGCCCAATGCTTATCTTGTTGGGTGCCAAAAATATTTGAATTTTATTTTTCTAAAATAAAATTCTTACCATTTGGAAATTTGAATTTTGGTTTGAAATTCAAATTAATTCGTTTAGTCCAATGCACCTATTTTTTTTTTTTACTAAACACAGGTTTCTATTTGTTTAGCACTGTTCCGAACAGGTTTGTTACCTGTTGGAATCAAATCTAAAAAGCCACTAGTGCACCTATAAATAGACAAGTCCCTCATTTGGATTTTCACTCAATTTTTCGTCCATTATTCTGTCATTGCTCTCTGCATTTTGCTGCATTTATTTTTTCTGTGAGAAAGTGTATAAACACAAGGTGTGTTCGTTTTGCGAATAGTTTGTAGTGCTGCTACTATTCGTTGTTGATCATTTTATCCTGGGAGATAAATGTCCATAATCACAAAGCACCGAGGAGAGGACGAATCTGTCTTAAGGACACAGTGTTAAACATTGGACTTTATCAAAATTTTGTTCGAGAAAATAATAAAGTAAGTGATTAGTTTACTTTTCTGTTTAATTAATATTTTATTTTCAGATTCTGATTTTGTTTTTGTAACAAAATAAGAATCTATTGTCTTATTTTTTTTTATATACTATTTTGATTTTTGTAATCGAACAGTCTCTCTCCTTTCTTTAATCCTTTCTTTGAATACATTGAAGATTGTTGAACGTCTTTCTATATACAAACATGGTTGTGTATTCGTATCATTAGATTGAGTATTTGAATATTTGTGTATTTTTTTACCAATATTAGTAGAGAATACTATCGGGTGTATTTGTTTCTTTTTACAAGTTCGGTAACCAGAAAAATTGATGAAGAGTTTAGAATTTTGAATCTTATTGCTTTATGTTGCATTGCTTAATTTTGCTCAAAGATGAGAAAGTCATTTTAATTTTACTATTGAATGGAGGGTTGTTTTCTCAGTTTTCAAGTAAAAGATCAATCTAAGGTTCAAATTTTGGGTATTTTAGTTCCATTTTCTGAGCAACCAAATGGACAGTTGGAACATGAAGTTGTTACCCATAGTTTCATTTTTAATTTAGTCTCTAATGGGAATTCATCTTGTGTTTTGTGAAGGGACTTGAATTGATACCCTCAGAGAATTTCACATCTGTCTCTGTGATGCAAGCAGTTGGAACAGTAATGACTAACAGCATCAGTGAAGGATATCACGGTGCTAGATGTTATGGAGGAAATGAGTATGAAGATCCCTAAATTTACTCTTTTTTTTTTTAAAAAAAAATTATTTTATTTTCTTATGCTTCTCGAGATATATGTAAATTTCTATTGATTAGCGCTCCTACATTTTGTTTGTTTAATTCCTTTTCAATTGAATTTTGTCTTTTAGGTATATTGATATGACAGAATCCTTATGCCAGAAGGGTGCTCTGGTGGCATATCGGTTGGATCCACTACAAAAAAAAGTGTTTTTTGCGATGGCAAAACGCCGTCGCAAATGGTCCATACACCGTCGCTAATACTTTTTGCGACGGTAATTTGGCTTTTTGCGACGGCAAGTGGGGGTCGCGACAAAGGGGGTTGCAAAAGGGCTTTAGCGACGGTAAGTGCCGTCGCCATTGTTTTTTGCGACGGGAGACTGCCTTTTTTGCGACGGCAATGTTCTGTCGCCAATAATGGAAGAAAATCTGAGTTTTTGCGACGGTACAGTATTTCCGTCGCTAAAATGAGTTTTTTGAGACGGCAAGAATGCTGTCGCTAAAAGTGTCGTACCTGATAACTATTGCCGACGGCAACCTGAGCCGTTGCTAAAGGTTTATTTTTCAATTACATTCCATAGCTTTTGCGACAGTATGGGTGCCGTCGCAAAAGCCGCGTAGAATTTTTTTTTTGCGACGGGTTGTTATGCCGTCTCAAAAAAAAAAAAACCTGTTGGGAAATTATTAAAAAAATTAAAATAATCTGTATTAAATGAAAAATAACTATAAAAAAATTCAAAAATTACATAATAATATAAATACATACATAAACAAAAGTTGACAAATAATAAAAATTCATAATGTTGTTTCATTCATAACAATACATAAATAAAAATTCATAACAATAAAAATTATGCCACTACATAATGTCGCGTACTACATACATAATGTTGTTCACAAATTTAAATAACATAAATCAAAATCAAAACCAAAAGTTTTCGTCTTGATTCTTTTGTGGGTTACAAAAACAAAAGTTGGTCATAATCTTGATACGCCTGCATTCCACAAGAAGCAAACTGCTACTCAGGAAATATTTGAAAAAAACAAGATAAAAATAATTAATAACCATATAATGGTGTTAATATTTTAATAACAGAAAATATAAAAAAAATTGACTACTATATAATTAGAAAGATAGTTTAGTAAATAATTTTGACTAGACCGAAATTTGACTCTAACTCCCAAATCAGGAACCCGATTCGAGCCCCGTCTTCTCCCACAAGTCTCTCGTGCCTAGGCGGTCGTGTGTGCCAAGTTTCGTGCTAAACCGACGTTGTTTGGTGATTTTGGAGCTTAACAGCTCGAATTAAGTTTCTTAAGGAAGTGTTTGCCTAAAGTGAAATCCGGCTCTAACTCCCAAACGGAAACCCGATTTTGAGCCCCGTCTTCTCCCACAAGTCTCTCATGCCTACGCGGTCGTGTGTGCAAGTTTTCGTGCTAAACCGACAGTTGGGTGATTTTGGGCGTTAACACCTCGAATTCAAGTTTCTTAAGGCTAGTTTGCCTAAAGTGAATTCCGGCTTTAACTCCCAAACTGGGAACCCGATTCGAGTCCCGTCTTCTCCCACAAGTCTCTCGTGCTAGGAGGTGTGTGTACCAAGTTTCGTGCTAAAACCGACGGTTTGGTGTTTTTGGGGCATTAACTCCTCGAATTCAAGTTTCTTAAGGAACTAATTTGCCTAAAGTGAAATCCGACTCTAATCAAACCGGGAACCCGATTCGAGCCCCGTCTTCTCCACAAAGTCTTTTGTGCCTAGGTTGGTCGTGTGTGCCAAGTTTGTGCTAAATCTGTCTCTAACTAGTTCCGTCTCTCCACACAATGTCTTTAAACTTAGAATGCAAAGATACATTTTATACCTGATCTTCTGGTGGTGGTGTATATGGATTCTCGTCTTCTGTAGATTCCCTAAATGCCCGGTGGCCACTCGATGCATCAGGAACCTATGTTAGTCAGTGCATAATGTGTTAATCATATTCGAATTTTATACATAATCTTGAGTGACAATTGAACTATCAAACAATTGTGATGTTTATATGGAACCTGTCTGTTGGGATCTACACTCGTCCCCTGTGACACAAGGGCCATCATCTCAGCTCTCATCTGCTGCAAATGTGTAGAGAACTCTGCTCGCAGCTCCTCCCTCAACTCATTCCTTAGCTCTGCACGAACCTGCTGCGTGATCTGATCAATAGTCGATGGCTGGGGTGTTGATTGTGATGGCCCAGCACCATCTTTATACACCGCTCTCCGAGGCACAATTCTCTCGTATGTGCGACAATATCCATGTCCGTCATGACCTATCAACTCATGGAAAATGGCATTCCTAGCCTCAAATGTCTGACCATCCTCATGTAGCATAGAGAGTTGACGATTAAACTCATCCTGTATTGAATAAGACATACAAGTATATGCCAAATTAAGATGGTTGACACACAAAAAATAAACTTTAAATACAATCAAAGGTGTTTAGAAACTACCAAGGTCTGGATAACCTCTGGGTCATCTACTCTACGTGTCATAAGCCAAACATTCATCTTATCAATAGACTTCCCCTTACTGGTCATCTACATTTTTTTAGAAATATGAAAATTAGAATCCAAATAATTTGCAAATATACAATGTTTATTTATATACAAAAATAAAACAATAAAATGTAAACCTCATGCCGTATCTAAGAGAAAGTAGTACGCCTTGTGGTATGAGCTATACCGTGAGCTCGCCGATTTTTAGCGTTCCTACTTGCAATTTTCTATAACAGGTTCAACAAATGTAAGTATGTAAATATGATTTGTATGTTTACATATCATAAATATAACTTATTTGTATACCACAGCATCGGAAGTACGCCAATACTCCACAAGTTATTCCCACTGGCTTGGCACAATGTGCATAGGAACATCATCCTTCAGATTAGGATCAGAACTTCAAGGCTTGAAATACTTAGCCTTAATCTTGTTCTTGTGATCCTTCCATATGCTGTTGCAGTTTTTCATGCAGATTGGCTTGTACTCCTCTGGACATATATTCAAATTGTCCTATAAAACACAATTTCAAAGTTTAAATAATAATAACACAATTTTGAAATTTAAATTTTTGGACAAAATTATACTTTTACTTTCACATCCTTCCAGATAGCATCAACAATATCATCAGGCACATTGTTCCAGTCAAGAAAAGTAAGAGGAACAATGTTACCATTCCGCACAATAATGCCAAGTTAAGTAGTTAACTTAGCCACGTTATCCCCTATTGGACAGTAATTTTCATCAAATTGTATGTCCAGCTTTTTACCAGTACCCCACTATTTAATGCCCTTGGCACATCCTCTACCACGCCTAATCGGGGTTGATAAAGAACTAACATGACCTACGAGATACAATAACAATAAACAATATGCAATGGTAATAAACAAATGCAAATTTAAATAATGTGAATACAAATCATATCAAATAAACCTGAGGTGGGCTGTGAAGAAGTCGAAGGGTCTGCAAAATACAATGAGAATAAACAAGTTATATATAATGAGCATAAATAAATGTATGTGTAAATAATTTTCATACAAATCAAAGCAAATTTGTATACCTGCAGATGGCTCATAAGCTGATGATGATAGCTGCTGTGGTGCCACTGATGGTGGACGCACCGATGGTAGACGTGGAGGCTGAGTACATGGTAGCTGCTGTGGTGCCACTAATGGTGGTCGATATGGTGGTACTAATGGCCCCTCAGATGGTGGTGGCACTAATGGCCCCTCCGATGGTGGCCGATGTGATGCCTCCTCTGATGGTGGTGCTACTGATGTCCTGTTATGTAGCACATCAGACATCATGCGCCGGGGATGATCAAGCTTCCTCTTCCTTCCTATAATAATCTGCAAGCAATATAACACTAATTGACATTAGAAACATAGACAATGGTTTGTCATCAACTATAATATGACATTAATTAAACTAATACAATTACAAAGACAAAATAAATTAAGAAATTGATGATTAACTACAACCTTGGCCTTAATTGAATTACTAATGTTGATTAAATATCAGCCTATTTGAACATCAACTGTTTCCCCTTATGCGGCTTCCCTCACCCAACCAACTTCTTCATCACGAAGCATTATATTTTCGTCCAATTGTTGGCTCATGTATGGCTCAATTTGTGGATCAGTCGAACTCATGTCAAATAAACCTCTTTGAGACATCTTCACCACGACTTGCCAGTCTGGTTGTAACGGGTCTGCAACATACCAAACTTGCTCTGCTTGGGACGCCAAGATGAAAGGTTCATTGGTAATTCGATCATCTCAGT